CGTACGTACGTACGTACGTACGTACGTAGTACGTACGTACGTACGTAGTACGTACGTAAGTAGTAGTAGTAGTAGTAGAGAGAGAGAGAGTAGAGAGAGAGAGAGAGAGAGAGAGAGAGATTTTAGGCGGTATAGATGTGAATAGCCCACAAAAGTTTTAAGTTTTAAACTTTAAAAGATTTATCCCACATTGGGGAGGTTGCAAAAAAGTTGGGCACCAATGAACTATAAAATACCACCTAGGGAAATGCATGTGTACGCTATTCCACCTAGTGTGCATAAGACCATCCACATAAAAATGTGGGGCCTTTAGTAATAAAAAATTCAAAACATAAAAAATAAAAACTTACAATAAATAAAAAATTACATGGGAATCAGACGATCTTGTAGCGCTAGATCACCCCATTCCCTGACGTAATCGGCTAGTTCTGTCAGAGAATTGGCTGGTTCCTAATATATAGAGGGAACCAGACCACTCCCCTTGTTCAGGTGATTTCGATTCGGATCGGCATTTTTTAAATAGCGAAGATTTTCCATAATGCTTATCTTCCTGCATGGCCTATTGGTCCGAAATCCTTTGATGTCCCCTTTTCCCTCATGGTAGTTTTCACACACTTTCATAATCTCACTGTTTACAACTTCTCAAAATTCTTGAAAAATGATAGCAAAAAAGCCATATGTGCCCTTAGTTTTGTCCCCTGCAATGTTTAGAAAACACTGATCCAGATTCGAATTGCCCGATTTGGATCGGTTTCAGGGGGACTGTTCCAGTTCCCTATATATACGAGGAACCGGCTGGTTCTGCAAGCTGGCTAGTTCTGTTTGAGAATGGGATGATCTGGTCCTGTAGAATCACCTGGTTCCCATGTAATTTTTATTATTAAATTTTTTTATATTTTTATGTTTTCAAATTTTTCTTACTAAAGGCGCTGCATTTCTGTGGATGCCCCACACCACTAGGTGGAATGGAGTACGCATGCCTTCCCCTATGTGGTGTTTTATAGTTCATTGGTGCCCAACTTTTCTC